GTGGTGGGTCCTGTCAGGGAGAACTGGCGAGAGCACAGGCCAAGTTGCTCCAGGCGCTCTCCTCAGGGCCCTGGGAAGCCGCACCCCAAATCGTGGGAGCAGAGCCAGGCTCCAGGACCTGGTGCTGAAGATCTGCCAACCCGGGTTCCACCCATGAGGTTTTGCTGTTTTCTTATCTCTCCTTCCCAAGAGCCCTCCTGGGGGGCTGGGGGGCAATGGAAGCCTGGGGTGCACAGAAGTTTAGCCAGACCCTGCCGGAAAGTCCCAAAGTTGGGTCCCCTCCTGCTCCCACTGTGTTCTGAACTTAATCTCCACAACACTCAGCAGTTCCTGGTGAGGAAATCGGTGAGCACATGTCCCCTCACAAAGCCCTTGGCAGTTCTTTTTTTTGGGGGGGGGCCACACCCAGCGATGCTCAGAGTTTACTCCTGACTCTGCACTTAGGAATTACTCCTGGTGGTGCTCAGGGGACCGTATGAGATGCCAGGGATCAAACCTGGGTCAACCGCGTGCAAGGCAAAAGTCCTACCCGCTATACTATCGCTCCGGCCTCCTGTCATTTTCAATTTGATTTTGAATCAAAATTTCCAAAGGACCAAAGTGGTCAGCTGACATCATTTTTGCTTGAATGATGCAATTCTGTCTGTACATCTCATGATTCACAGATTTAAATAGCACCTACTTGTTTATGTGACACTTTCTTATTGACGTGAAAAGCCTTCTCAGCAGGGAGAGGATCGATGCAGACTCGTGGCTCATCCGAGCAATTAATAATCATGCAGACAGTCACAGACAATGAAATTCCTATTTGTTTCATTACGCTTTCAGTAATTTTTCTTTTTCAGCCTTGCAATTATCTATACAAACTTTGAGCATCCATGTTGTTTTGATTTATTGCACACTAAATTTTACATAAAAAAACTAATTGTAAAACTAATGAAATATAGAAAACTAGCAGGTAAATCCAGAATACTTTAAAAAAAAAAACTTAGGTTTTTAAATCATGGGAAATTATTTCTACTTTAACTTCTAATAATTTTGAAGCAGAGAAGTATGACAAGATGAACGACACAGCTTCCCACCATAAAAACAGAGTAGCACTGTAGCACTGTCTTCCCATTGTTCTTCGATTTGTTCAAGCGGGCCCAGTAACGTCTCCATCGTGAGACTTGTTACTGTGTTTGGCATATAGAATACGTCATGGGTAGCTTGCCAGGCTTTGCCGTGCAGGCGAGATACTCTCAGTAGCTTGCCGTGCTCTCCGAGAAGGGCGGAGGAATTGAACCTGGCAGCCACATGCAAGGCAAACGCCCTAGAGAAAGAATATTTTGCAAATTGTCTGCAACACAGCAGGGTGAGGTGTGGAGGAGGGGGCTGAGGGGATACTGGGGGGTTTTGGTGGTGGAAAATGTGCACTGGTGAAGGAATGGGTGTTTGATGACCATATGACTGAAGTTCAAACATGAAGGTTTTTTTACTGTACTTCACGGTGAATAAAAATTAAAGAAAGAAAGAAAGAAAGAAAGAAAGAAAGAAAGAAAGGAAGGAGAGAGAAAGAAAGAAAGAAAGGAAGGAAGGAAGGAAGGAGAGAGAAAGAAAGAAAGAAAGAAAGAAAGAAAGAGAGAGAAAGAGAGAAAGAGAGAAAGAAAGAAAGAAGGAAGGAAGGAAGGAAGGAAGGAAGGAAAGAAAGAAAGAAAGAAAGAAAGAAAGAAAGAAAGAAAAGGGGTGGGGCTGGGGGAGGAATAAAGGAAGAGGTGGTGGACTGGAATTCAATCCCTGGCACCCATATGGTCTTGTGAGCCCCACCAGGAGTGATCCCTGAGGACAGAGCCAGGAGTAAGCCCTGAGCCCTGAGCACTGCTGGGTGTTAAAACACACACACACACACACACACACACACACACACACACACACACACACACACACGAGTGGGGGTGGGAGGGAGAGAAAGGGACAGAAAGGCAGGTAGGAAGGCATCCAGGTAGGAGTGCCAGGGCCAGCCTGCATGTCCAGAGCCGTTCACTCTGCACCTAAGTCATCGTGTCCCTGTGTGTTTGGGGACTGTTCTGGTAGCCCCCAGGGAGCACCCGTCATGAACAGGGAGTCAACAGAGATCCTGAGCTGTCGGCCTCAGCACTCACTACCATGCTGGTACAATCATCACCATCTCGGGAGAGTTCCATCCACAGAACTGAGAGGCGTGGAATCACTTGTCAGTGGGGACAGCGGGGAGGCTGGTGCTGCCTCCTGAATCCCGGCCTTCCACCATCCTTCCCCCTAGGAGCACGCAGCAGACCACGGCACACTCAGATCCCAACAGGGAAGCAGGAGGCAGGGAAAACGGCATGGAGGGAGCCTGTTCGCTCTATCCACTCAACTATCCCACCTCTCCGCTGGATTTCCGTTTCTGCCTAAGAGCCTCAACTAACATCTCCAGGAAACACCGAGTCTCCGAGTCTTCATCCTCCGGGTGGAGCTGGCTAGCACGCATGAGGGAAAACCCAAGGGGTTTCCTAGCTGCAACTTTGCTCTTTTGGTTTCCAGTTTTCCTGGCATGATGGTTTGGAGGCCACATCCTGAAGTGCTCAGAGGCTACTCCTGGCTTAGAGTTCCAGGGTCTCTTCTTGGAGGTCCCTTCTGGGCAAGATCGTGGGGTCCCCCGGGATTCCACCTAGGCCTCCTGCAGGCAAGGCATGTGCTCTAGCCCTTTGAACTCTCTCCCCAGCCTGAAATCCCACCTTTTTATCACCTGATCTCAACTAGAAACTGTCTTTCCAGTTTGAAACAACTGTGTGGTGTTTTTAAAAAAAGAATTCTTTAAAAAAAAATCTTTTATTTTTAAAGCACAGCTTCAGTCAGCTTGCAGTCAAATCGGGCAGAGTGTACCCAGAGTCCCCTGCTGACTCCCCCCTCCCCCCACCACAGGCACCGACCTCGCCATCAGCACCTTCTGTTTGAAACTTTTGGAATGTGGATTCCAAGACTGGGGTGACCTCTGGTAGTTTTTCATTTTAACTTTTTTTTTTTAATTAGTCACAGACAAGCTTCCTTTTGTGAAGCCAAATTGGCCCAGAAGACCTTCAAATATATGTGTGTGCGCAGGATGTTTTCTGCTTTTGTTTGACGGAAAATGTCCTTCAGACCGTGGATCTCAGTAAAGTGGAATGAAAATCTCATGTGTTTTCCGCACCCCCTTCCACACTGGGCATTAGACACTGTCCTTGGAAAGGAGGGGGTGGGACAGTTGGGGGGCGGGGGGGTGGAGACTCTCTTTGTCACTTGAGAAGCCAAAGTCACCTTTGTGACTCTGACTTTTAACTTCCTACCCTGAGATGGATGGAACTCCTTTCTGGGGAAGCACCAGGAGCTGTTTTACTGGCTCAGCTCTGGATTTGCCAGTTTTCCTTCCAGCATGTTCCTGCAACTTGTGACCCACATTCGGTTGCAGTTGGGAGGCCTGGGGCTTAGGACTGCAGAAGCCTCAGTGGCCACCAGCAAACCCAGCCAGAGACAGAACGGAAGGAAACACAGTATCTGTGTATAATTCTCTAGGGGAAACAGAATGTAGATCCAAGTTCAAAAAGAAACACTTAAAAAAAGGGGGGGAAGGGTATATTGGGGTTCTTGGTGGTGAAAAATAAGTACTGGTGAAGGGAAAGGTGTTTGATCATTGCATGACCGAGACTCAAACCTGAAAGCTTTGTAACTTTTCCCACAGTGATTCAATAAATTAGAAAAAAAAAAGGAAGAAAAAAAAAAGAGCTGTTTGTAGGTTCTGAGCTTCTTTGAGGGAGGTGGGGGGAGTCACACCCAGCAATGCTCAGGGCTGACTCCTGATTATACACTCAGGGATCACACCCAGTGGGGCTCAGGGGACCATATGGGATGCCAGGGATCAAACGTGGAATGCCCATGTGCAAAGCAAACCTCCTGCCCACTGTACCACCACCTGGTTGTACATTTAAAAAATGCATGCCTCTACTGAAAGTAACTATAGACCAAACATGATTGCCATCCATTGCCTCTTTTGGAAACCACAACACCCAATAGGAGAGAGAGAACAAAAGGGAATACCCTGCCACAGAGGAAGGGTGAGATAGGGGGATGGGGGGTGGGAGGGATACTGAGACCCGTGGTGGTGGGAAATGGGCACTGGTGGAGGGATGGGTACTTGATCATTGTGTAATTGAAACCCAAGCACAAAAATTTGTAAGTCTACAACTGTACCTCATGGTGTCTCACTAATAAAAATTTTTTAAAAAAATGCATGCCTCTGGGTATTAAATCAGCTCTGTATTTGGATTCTGTACGACGTATTTTAAAGTGTTGTGGCAGTTTTATTTTGAAATGTAAATATTTGTCAAATACCAGATCTCACAACCTGGGCAAATATTAAAATGTATGTACAAACATTAGAGGTCAACTTGAAAACATGCAGGACGAGACAGGAGCTGAACACTAGAGGGGGACTCCCTGGGGAAGGAAGCAGGACCGAGGGCTGGATCTGTGCTTGGCTTTCCGAAGGGGGGGAGGGGGGCCGTTCCGGCTGTGGGTGAACAGGACCCGACGCAGCGGCTATGCCCTTCCCCATAGTCCCCAGCAGGGGGCGCCTGCGAACAGGAGGGCAGAAGGCAGGGCGCTGGATCAAACCCCACCCAGGCCCCAACACCACGCTGGTGGGTGCGTCTACACCCTACGTGGGCCAGAGGACCCCGTGAGTGCACAGACGAGCTGTGAGACTAGGACAAGTCCTTCTGGTTCCAGGCCTCAGTTTCCTTATCCGCAAACAGGGCCACGGCGAGCACCCAGTGCAAGCGGCCAGTGTGGGAAACCAGGAGGAGGAGCACTGGTTCTTCCTGCACATTCCAGTTTCCCGGGCTCCGCCCTCCCCTGCTCCCTGCGCACGCCTGGCTCGGCTTCTCTCCCGCCCACCCCCACCCCAACCCCGTGCGCTGCAGGAGACCCCGGAGACCCCGGAGCAAGGCTGCCCCGGAGGCGGGGAGTCACACAACCGCCGTCTGCTTGATGCTGTGGAAGCTGACCCTCGTGGGCGAGGTGGGGATGGACATGGCCCGGGCCACGGGTACCCGCAGCGAGTGGTGGTCTTGCCAGCGGTGCCACTTCTTCCGCACGGCTGAGCGCACCTGCGAGGAGGGGAGACTCAGCTGGACCCTCCGCACCCACCCTGGGGCTCCGGATAGTCCTCTCCCTATTCCCCACGTCCTGCAGGGAAGACCACCACCATCACTCCCCAGGACCAGGGGGCTCCAGAAGGCCCGGGTCCCGCCGGGAGACCCCCACTCCCTCTCTGCAGCCTCAGGGGCTCCTCCTTCCAGATCCCTGTACTGGAAGAGCCTCTGCCCACACTGCGGGCTGGCCCCACCTCTTCACCTCGGACACCTTCTGCCAGCCCTTCCTGTTCCCTTCCTGTTCGCCCTCCTGGCCAATTTATCCTCATTGTGCTCTAAAGCAGATTTTTTCCCCTGCAATGAGTAGCACAGCCTGGGCCCCACAAGCATCCACTGTACCAGCAGCTCCCCGTCCCCACATTCCACACTAGCCCCTGACCAGCTCTGCCTGGCGCCACAGGCTCTGTCTGCTACTACCAGGGCCTGAGGGTGGGCGCCCCCACAGGCCTGACGCTGCATCTCTGGGACTTGGCTGCACTGGGGTGCTGAGTCTGGCTCCCTGGGGCCGCCTGGAGGTGCTGGTCATCTCCTGCTTGGAGGTGGGGGACATGCTGGTAGCTCTGTCCCTCCGGCTCCCCTCAAAATCCCACAGCCTGCCTCCTGCCCACCTGCCTCTGGACCACATCTGTGGGGTGCTAGTGTCTCATTTTGGGCTGGAACAGTTGACCTCAAGTGACTGGAGTTCCTCAGGAAAGACTCTTTCTGTTTGTTTTTGGGGCCACACCTGGTGATGCTCAGGCCACTCCTGGCTCTGCACTCAGAAATCACTCCTGGCAGGGTTAGGGACCATAGGGGATGCCGGGGATGGGATTGGGGTCCAGAACGTGTGAGGCAAGTGCCCTACCCGCTGTATGATAGCTCCAGCCCCCCTTGGGCAAGGGTTCCTGTATCCCCAAGGCAGGGAGGGAGTTTCTGGGCCTCCCTCCACACCCCTGCAGAGTGGAACCTCCAGCTCCAGGACCCTGAGAGCTGGGGTGGTTCCATGGGAGCCCCTGGAGTGGGTGACAGGGCCCAGGCTCACCTCTCCATTGAAGAAGCAGTAGAAGACAGACACAAAGAAGCCCTGGGGGGTGGGAAAAAAAAAAGACGGGCGCTCAGGGCACTACTGGGGTTAAGGGAGGTGCCCAGGACTCTGCTGGGGGAAAGGGGGTACCCAGAGCTCTGGTGGGGGAAGAGGGGTGCCCAGGACCCTGCTGGGGAAAGAGGGGTGCCCAGGACCCTACTAGCGGTGTGGCCTGGAACAGGGTCCAAGGAACCTAAGGGTGAGATCCAGACAGGGCCAGCCCTCAGGGTGCCGGAGGTCCCAGGGTATCCTTGTGGTGAAGCCTGGCAGGTGGGGGAGCAGGTGGGTGACCCCCAACAGGTCCCTGAGCTCCGCAATCTGGGGGGCCCAGACGCCCACCTGGAAGGACTGCAGGAAGGAGTTGAAGTAGATGAAGACGATGTGGGCCAGGCCATCGTCCCCGGGGTTGACGAAGAACAGCATGTAGGTGCTGCCCAGCAGGGGCAGCAGGACCAGTGTGGCCTTCACCGCCTTCCTGGGGATGACAGCAGGGCCAGCTAGGGCGGCCTCAGGGTCCCCCCGGGGACCTAGAGGCGGGGCCCCACCACCTCTCCACCCCACCTGTATTGGACCGTCTCCGACGTGGTGGACGCCTGCAGCTTGGTCATCAGGATCCTGACAATGTTGAACAGGAACACGAAGTTGATCTGGGTGGGGCGGGTGGGCAGAGGAACAGAAAGGGCCGTGAGGGGGGGTCGCTGTCCCTCCCAAGATCTGAGGGAGCACAGACGCCCCCCAAATCCATTTTTCATCTGCCTCCCAGCCTCTGCAGTGCACGGGACTCTCCAGGTGAGGAGAGGGGTCCGGGGGTGATGGATGGCCAAGCCCCGGAAGAGAGACGGACTCTCATCACAGCTCACCCAAAGCCCCTGGCAACAAAGGCAAACGGCTCCCGGGTTCCTGCATGGCACCTGCATCCACTCCAGGCCTGCTCAGCACACCCCCTTGCGCCACCCTGCCTGCTTCCCTACCCAGCTCTGAGTGTGAGTACACGTGTGCAGGCCTGACACACTCGAGCTCTCCCCAGAGAGCACAGGAGACGGGGGGGGGGGGGGGGGGGGAGCCAGGTGGGCCATGTGTGCAGACGAGTCTCTGTGTGTGCATGTGATGTGCATGGACACACACACACACACACACACACACACACACACACACGCATACCCTTGCAGAGCCTAGTCCCTGTCCTGAGGGCCCTTACGTCCCTCCAACTCCTGGGCTCTGGGCAGGAGCCACACAGGTGACCTTGTGGGACAGGCACTGCACTGGAAGTCTTGAGCAGCGGCTGCTCTCAGGCTCAGACGCCTCCACACCTGCTGCCCCGGTGCCCTCTGGCTCTTCTCACTTCCTGACCCAGGACTCCTGTCTTCCCCATTAGCAGGAAGGTCTCCTCTCCACATTAGACCATTTCCAATTGTCTCACACGTGGGATACAGAAAACCTGACCTTTTAAAATTCCTCCTGACTTCTCAGAAACTAATTAGAGGCTGTTGGAATCCAAATATATTCTCATTGCTGCCACATTACACTGCACTAAATCTTATCCACCCATCACCTGGCAAACCTCTAGTCCACTCACTCAATTATTTACCTGCTCTAGTTCTTCCATCCCCTCTACCATCCATACTTCTACCCACCATTCACTCACCACCTGTCCAAGCCACCATCCATGCATCACCTATCCTTCCATCCACCCACCTATCATCCACACACCCATCCATCCTTCCATCCATCCATCCATCCATCCATCCTTCCATCCATCCATTCATCCTTCCATCTATCCATCCATCCATCCATCCTTCCACCCACCCACCTATCATCCACATACCCATCCATCCATCCTTCCATCCTTCCATCCATCCATCTATCCTTCCATCTGTCCACCCATCCATCTTTCTATCCATCCTTCCATCCATCTATCTTTACATCCATCCTTCCATCCATCCATCCTTCCATCCCTCCTTCCTTCCATCCATCCACCTACCCATCCAGCCATCCATTCAACCATCAGCCATTCACCCACTCTCCATCCTTCTCCTTTGCCCACACCTCACTGCTGCAGGAGTGAATGAAGCCTGGGCCAGGGGGCAGGCACTGCCAGGCCCTGAGGCTCAGGGCAGCACCACCTGGCCCGTCAGCCTGGAATTAAGTCAGTGACGACAGGTGCCAGAAGCAGAACCAGGCCATCAGCACGCGCCCAGAAACCCCTGGTCTTCATGGCACAGATAAGATACTGAGGCTCCAGGAGAGCAATGAGCCCCTCGAGATCACAGGGTGACTCCCATGGGTTCCAGCCATTGTGTGTTCCCTGGTGCCCCTCCTCCTTACGGTAGGCCAGCGCAGCACATTACAGCTCAACGGTTCTCCACCTCCAGGGCTGCGCGCAGGGAGACCCCAAGCACCCCTGCAATGAGCTCACAGCACTCACAGCCCTTCTTGGTGCCCCAAACAGAGGCAGATGGGAAGGCCTGAGGCTTCTCATTGGCTGGGGGTGGCTTCAGACAGAGACAGACACAGAGGGAGACACTGACACTGACACCGACACAGACAGACAGACACAAACAGACACACAGACACAGACAGACAGACAGTTCCTCGCCTCCTTTACTTACTGATTTCTATTTAAGTATATATGTGCATACATATATATGAACGATCTGTTTGAGGCTCTTCATGTTCCTAGAACGAGCAGACGCCATTGGGCTACACTAGCACACAACAGGGACGAATGGAGATGTTACTGGTGCCTGCTCAAGCAAATCGATGTGTAACGGGATGTCAAGTGATCAAGTGATCATATATATGGGTTGATTGAGGGGGGCCACACTGGCTGTGCTCGGGGTTTATTCCTGGATCTGTGCCCAGAGGTCATTCCCAGTGGAACTCAGGAACCACATGAATTGCTGGGGGTCGATTGCTGCTTGCAGGCAAGTTTCCTATCCTATCACTCCTCCCCTCCTTGAAGCCCAGAGGAAAAGGCCCCAGTCCTGGACTCCCCTCCATTCTCCCCCCCACCCAACTCTCCCAGGGCCCCCCATTCTCAGGCACACACAAGCATCACGACGATCACGACCATCCTGTTAATCGTCGATTGCCTTGAGCAGGCCCCAGTAACGTCTCCTTCGTCCTAGCCCTGAGATTTTTTTTTAAGTGCCATATTCAAGGCTGTTTCAGAGTTAGAAGAATGAGACCCATCATTGTTACTGGTATTTGGCATATTGGGTACGCCACAGGGAGTTTGCCAGACTCTGCCGTGTGGGCAGGTTACATTCGGTAGCCTGCCAGTTTGTCAAAGTAGGAATGAGATGTTATAATAAGATGTCGTGCGGCCGCAAATGCGGCCGCACAGTTCTGGGATCTGGGTTTTATAGTGTCTGAGTCTTGGCTGTTGATGAGATTACATGGCGCCAGGGAGCCAGTTGATTAGTGTGACCCCTGCCTACTGTAATTTGGAGGATCTGGGTGGAGGATGCTCAGCCCCGATCCGAGTAGGCTGGGAGATCTCAGTCCCGGGACCTGCATGCCTTTGTTCCTCTGCCGGTACCTTCAGGTGTGTGGAGAGTGGTCTCAGCATGGTGGTGGCTGGTTCTGGAGGTCTTCGGCTGCCGGAGCCCTGGTCGGGGTGGGGAGGAGAACTCAACCCACTCCCCTCCAAGGGGCCCCGGCAAGGACAGCCAGATGCAGGGGCAGGAGACTCTGCACACACAAGCATATGCACACACAAACACTGACAGGCACACACACTCTCACCCAGCTGACATGTGCACACACACTCAGGGATACATACACATGCCGACATATTAACATACGTAAACACACAGGCAGCCACTTGGCCTTTAGGCTTGGGTGGGTAAGTGCCCAACTGCCTGATCCCCCCACCCCCTGTTCCTCTCCTCCCCAGCCCTCCCTCTTCCCACCCCCCCACACACGCCTTCCAGCTGGTCCATGTGGTGGGCACCCAGCTGTCCACTCACCTGTGTGTCAGTGGGTCCCTCCCCCAGGAGCCCACCCGGGACCCAATCATGGGCAGGGAGCCAATCCCAGGTCCAGGGAGGGGCCCAGGGCCCCACACACCTTTCCAAGGCCTCCTACCAACTCAGCTAGTGGACGCTGTCCAGGGACAGGGCACGTCCTGCAGTAGTGGGCGGGCCCTGGGGCAGCGCAGTCTCCCCGCCTTCTCTGAGGTGGGGCACAGGGGGTGTGAATGAGGCCCTGAGGTCAGAGCTTCAGGCAGGGATGTTCTCAGACCAAGCAAGCCACTGGGGGCAAGCAGCAAAAAGCTTCCCACATCCTCCCTGTGCGTGGTTCCAGCACACAGGGCTGAGTGGGGGGTCTGCGGGGGTCTGCACACGCCCGAGAGGGAATGACTCACTGCAGTTGGAGACCCGGACAGTGCTCCTGCCCCCAGAGAGAAACGGCCTCTGACGGAGTTCACAAGGAGTGGGGAGGGGCACCCCAGCTCACACCAGCGAGGGCTACTCCAGGCTGGCAGTCAAGTGAATGCTGAGGAAGCCACAACAGGAGGAGAGAGAGGAAGAGGAACCAACAGCTGCCTCCCAGGTAGACCCAGGGGCGCCCGTTTGGCACCGACTGTTTGCGGCCTCCTGCCAGGCCCGGCAGAAAGCAGGCGCACCCAGGAGGTTGAAATTATGGCGCCTGAAATAAGCCTTACATAAATGCCAATTTCTCAGGGGGTGTTGGCATCTCCCTCCCTCGCTTCCCTCTCTTTAATGTGTGATATATGATGGGTTCAGGATTGCAGAATGCAGCCTCCACTTAAACTCAGTCTTAATTAAGGCTCCTTGTGGATCAGAGACGAGGGGCAATTACACTGTGCGTGCAGATACGGCTGGCAGAGGGTGGGGTGTGCGGGGGAACAATTGCTCGTTACGCTTCATTCTAGTAACACAGCTCTGGGCTGGAGGCGGTGGGGGGTGGGGCCCGGAAGGGGTCACAGGGGCTGCTGGGGGTGTTGGACTAGGCTGAACAGAAGCCCACACACCTTCTTTGCTGCCAGCTGCCCAGGACTGGCTGTCTCAGCGCTGTGCTGAGGACCTCAGTGTGGCAGATCACTGAGAAGCTGAGAGAGAGAGAGGGAGAGAGACAGACAGAGAGACAGAGACAGAGAGACAGAGAGAGACACAGAGACAGAGACAGACAGAAACACAGAGACACACAGAGAGACAGAGACAGACAGAGATTGAGAGAAAGACAGAGACAAAGAGACAAGAGGCAGAGAGACAGAGAGAGACAAACAGAAAGACAGAGACAGACACAGAGATAGAGAGATAGACACACAGAGAGGAACAGAGAGAAACAGAGACAGAGACAGAGAGACAGAGAGAGAGACAGACAGAGAGAGAAACAGAAACAGAGACAGAGACAGACAGAGACAAAGAGGCAGAGACAGAGACAGAGAGAGACAGAGATACAGAGACAGAGAGACAGAGATAGAGATACAGAGACAGAGATAGATACAGAGACAGAGAGAGATAGAGAGATGGACCGAGAGACAGAGACAGAGAGAGACAGACAGAGACAGAGAGAGGGACATGGACAGGTGTGGGGTGGGAAGGGAGAGGCGGGGGCTATCAGAGTGGTGTGTACAGGGGCCATGTGGGTCCACAGTCTGCGCCCAGGCCTCTGCTGGGGCGGTCCCTTGCCCCATGGACTTACCAGGAGAACCAGGATGATGGGGCCCTGGTAGATGAAGTCCACGAGGTCCCCTGGCTCCTTGCCGAACCAGCACCTGCATACAAGGGGTGAGCATGACACACACAGGGAGCTCAGGACCACCAGCCCAGACCCTTCCTGAGCCCCAAGCCCAGGGCTGGATGGGAACCCAGACCCCCCTAGCAGGGTCTGATGCCTCTGTACAGAGGGCAGGCCTTGAATCCACATGCTCCTCTTCCTCCTCCCCTCCAACTCCTCCCCCCCACCCATTCCTCGTCTTTCTCCCCCCTCCTCTAGGTCCTCCTTTTCCCTGTCTTCCTGCGTCCCCTCCTCTTCCTCTTCCTTTGGGCCAAGGGGAGCTGATGGCCCTGGCTGGCCCATACCCCTGGCCAGAACCACATGCTCAAGTCACGCATCCCCCTCCTCTTCAAGGCACTCAGAGTGGGGATGCCGTCCTCTCCCACGCCGAGCCTCGGTCACCCAGCCAGGGGCCCCACAAGACCAGACACTAGACTTTAGGTGCATGGAAGTACAGCGGAGACCCCCAGCCAGGACCCACGCTGATTGCCAGCAACTCCTCCCGGACCTCGGGAAGTCCCCCAGGGACCTCTAGAAAGTCGACCCTACACCCACCCCCAGAGTACCCCGTGGGCAGCAGCATCTGTCCTGCTTCCCGGAGTCAGGGCTCTGCTCTCTGCTTGAATGCTCCCTGTGATGGGGTGTTCACTGCCTCCCACACAGCCACTCATGAACTCTCAGAAAGAGGTCTGCCTCCTGTGCACCCCTGAGCCCCTGAGGCGTGTCCAGACACTGGCCACATTGTGCCCACTTCTCTAGCTCCCTAGCGGCTCCCCACGTCGGGGCAAGCCTCTGCTGGGGGCAGGGGCGGAGGGGGTCTCCAGGCAGGTGACTGTACCCCAGGCAGACCCTCTGCCACAATGCCGGACTCAGCTCCCGACAGACCTTCTCCGAGGTCTGAGGGGTCACCCTTTGGGGGGCTTACAGACCATGACTCCTCATGCAGTTCAAGCCACAAGCCATGGTGGCACCTGCGACAGTCCCCTCTGGGTTCTGCAGGGGAGCCTCCCCCGGGCCGGCCCTGCCCACTTACTGTTTGTCCTCATAGTAGAGTTTGCCCAGGGCCCAGGCCATGATGATGGGGCACGGGATGCCTGGAAGAGGACAGACACGGCTGCAGCGGCCAGGCGGGACACGGGCGCCCACATCCCCTCATCCCCCTAGCAGGCCACTCCTGCCATCCTCTGCCAGGCCAGAGAGAGGAGAGGGCATGCAACTGTCTCCCATTTGCTTACTTGCTATTTTTGGGGATTTTTTCCAAGTTTGGGGGCTACACTGTGCACTGCTCAGGGCTTACTCCTGCCTCTGTGCTCAGGGATCACTCCTGACAGCCTCAGGGGTCCACATGGGGTGCCGGGGATGGAACCAGGCCTATGCATAGCAAGTGCCCTACCCACTGGACCCGCTCCGGCCCCTGCCTAAGGTTTTTCTGCTTGGAAGTCAGCTTTCTTGGTTCTGCCCCAAACAAAGGGGTGGGGTGGGGCATCCCCGGGGGAGGAGGGGGCGCAGGTGGGAGGAGCCTCGGGGACCCTCACACCAGCCGATGAAGAGGAAGAGCCAGGGGCGCAGGCGTTCTGTGGAGTAGGCCATGGCGATGGCCGTGTGCAGGTAGCAGCCTTCCACGAACATCCAGAAGAAGTTGGTGACCACGAAGTAGTTGAAGACGGTGGTGATGCAGCGGCACCAGACCTGCGGCGGGGAGCCAGCGGGGGCAGGCGGACAGGTGAGGGGTGGTTCCCGCGGGGTCGTGGAACCTCCCTGACCCTCCTCATCCTTCAGCATGGGGGGGGTCTCCCGGCCTCCTCCGGGGGACAGCGTGGCCCCTCCCCCGTGCTCCGAGCTTCCCCTCCGCGTTTGCTCAGGCAGAGGCGGCGGCTCAGCTACCTCCCTCCCGACTTCCAGTGCCAACATCTTTTCCTTCCTGTGGGGCTCACACCCGGCTGAGCTCGGGTTTGCTCTGTATCTGCACTCAGGCACCCCCATGGAGATGCTCAGTGGCCGTATGGGGTGCCAGGGGCCAGACTGGTGCAAGGCAAGTGCCCCACCCACTGCAGTACACGGCTCTGTCCTGGACGGCAACACTGGTTTGTTTGGGGGCCACACCCAGCTGTGCTCAGGGCTGCCTCCTGGCTCTGTGCTCCAGGATCACTCCTGGAGGAGCCGAGGAGGACACTCTGGGGTGCCGGGAACCGAACCCGGTGAGCTGGGTACACCTCTGTACTATGAATCTGAAATAGGCTCTTGCTGAGCTGGGGCCAGGGAAAGGGTCCAGCCCCGGAATGTGGGGCCTGTGCTCGGCCACATTCAGTGCCCAGCTTGACAGGGACCTGGATGCAGCACCTCAGACGCTAGTCGAGGGTGGACAGGCAGCAGCTGGGGTGTCCTGTGGGTGGAGGCCCTCTGTACCCAAGGGAGAGACTTGTATGGGTAGATGGAGAACCCTGCTCTCCTCCTCCCAGAGGCGTCTTTGTGGGGATCTGAATTCCCTGGGGAGCAGGGTGGGCCAGGCCGATGCTACGGTCAGACCAGTGCTCCTGAGGCCTGCCCTGGCGGCACCACCCTTTAGTCCCCCTCCCCAACATTCCCCATACACACATTCACACGCTGGAAAAGCTGCCAGTGCATGCAGCAGGCTCCTGTCCTAGGTCCTGGGGGAGTGCTGACAGGGGGTAGGTTGCCCCCTGGAGGCTGGGCCCCTGCTCTGAGCCCTAGACCCTTCCCCAGTCTGCGCCCCCCGACCGGTCCCTGCTCTGGCCCCGCCCATCCCTGGCCCCTCCCATCCCTGACCACGCCCACCCAGCCCCTGGCCCCATCCCCAGCACTGCCCAGCGACCTCGTTGCTCTCATGCACTTCGTGGTCGATGAGCTGCAGCAGGAACCACAGGACGTTGCGCAGGATGAAGGTGGTGACGAGGTTCCAGTGAATCACGTTCCTCAGGCAGCGGATACTCCTGTGGGGGCCCAGCGGGTGAGGCTGGGAGGGGTCCCCTGGGAGCAGGGATCCCCGCTGTCCGTGCAGGCCACATGAGCTCAGGCCAGCTCTGCCCTGGCACCTCCCTCTCGGGCCCCCTTGGTCCAGGGTGCCCCCCCTTTGCCCCACCGTGTGGGGGCGTCTGGGAGGGGTGAGTGGGGCTTGGGGGGACAGACTCACCGCAGGGCCAGGAAGAGCAGGAAGGCGGCCACGAGCGCGGCCATGGAGACACAGTGCCCCAGGTAGTTGATCACCAGGGCAATGCGGTAGTGCTGCTCATATTTCCTCTGCTGGACAGACAGACAGACGCGTGCATACACTGATTCAGGCCGCCCGAGCTGACGCACAAGGGGCCTCAGAGCTGTTGCCCGGGGCTCCGGAGGCTCTGTCATGAACTCAGAGGCTGCAGGGCACCCCCAGATGTGCTTGTGGGGTAACCAGAATAGAAGAGCCACGAGGCGTGGGAATATGGGATCTGAGCTCCTAGAGTCTGTTCACGGACCCACATGTGATGGTGCCAGCCCCACCCAATGCCAGTCTGTGGAGACACGAGGCTTCTGGCAGCTCCTCAGGGGCCTGGGGGCCAGAAGACCAGAAGGGAAACTGAGGAAACTTCTGACTTCTGGAGTCAGAAGACCAGAAGGGAAACTGAGGCCCCAAAGAGAATTTGGGGAAGGACATGGAGCTCTGGCTCCACTCTCTCTTCCTGTGCCTCTCGTCCCCGTGGGGTTGTCTGCTTCAAGTCTGAGCCCTGCGCCCCTTCCATGCAGGGCTGCACAGAGGTGAGGCTGAGGCATACAAGGACAGTTTCCCGTGGCCCTCACCATCCACCGGGCACACCTGGGCGAGGCGGCTCACCGTGTCATGCAGAATGGGCACGCACTCCGAGTAGTTGATCCTTGAGGCCCACGTCCCATTCTCCCAGCACTGCCGGTAGGCGTTCCCTGCAAGACACCCCAGCCCCACAGGAGGGTCATTCGTTTCTCAAGGGCACCCCACGGTGTCCAGGTCCCAGCTGATGCCACACTTCTCACCCTTTCTTGCCCCAAAACACTGGACAGCGGGGATCCCTGCTCGCAGGGAACCCCTCCCAGTCAAATCTCATCACATCTGGAGCTAAAGCCATCCTAGGGGCTGGGGAGAGGAGCTGGGGGCCGAGGTACGGCTACACATGCAGGACCCCTGTCCAAGGAGCACTGCTGGGGTGGCGAGGAAGACCCCACTACCAAAGGCACGAGCAGACCATGAGTCCAGTCAGCTGATTCACCCTGGGCTGGCTCCCAGGCCTCCAAGCACTGCTTGAGACATCCCAAACATGCTAGACATAATCTTTTTTCTTTTTCTTTTCTCTCTCTCTCTCTCTCTTTTTTTTTTTTTTTGCGCTGTAGGTCACACCCGGCGATGCACAGGGGTTACTCTTGGCTCTGCACTCAGGAATTACTCCTGGCAGTGCTCAGGAGACCATGTGGGATGCTGGGAATCGAACCCGGGTCAGCCGTGTGCAAGGCAAACCCTACCTGCTGTGCTATCACTCCAGCCCCTAGACATAATCTTTGATCTTTCGTTTTGCTCTGTTTTGTTTTCTGTTTGGGAGCTGTACCTGGTGGTGCTCAGAGGTTCTGCTCTCAGGAATCACTTCCGGTGAGCTCCAGGACAGATGGGTTGCTACAGATCAAACCCCCGTGTGCAAGGCAAACGCCTTCCCTGACGTACTATCTCTCTGCCCCCCTAACTTTGGCATTTTGCACTCTGGACCCGGAGTCCCTATTTTCAATAAGGCAGTTTCCACCCTGATCACAATCCCTCTGCTTATGAGGGCCGCCTCTCATGTGCCCACACTCTGCTCCCAACCTTTTACCATCTACATCCCAAGGGCGTCTTTGCTTTGCGTTGCTAGAGACACGGGTCTCCACCCGAGCCTGGAACCAGTAAGCAAATGCTGTTAGCCCACAATTCCGAGGAGGAAACACTCAGAGAGAGGAAGTTGTGTGCCAAAGAGACAAAGATGTGTAACGGAGTCGCACCCTAGCTCTAAGCCACAACTAGTCCTAAGGCATGGAGGATCGGGGGGAAACACCATTGCGTGACTGACGGGTCAGAAAGTCCGAAAACCAGCCTACATGTTGGAGCTGGAGGTGCCATGGGCGTGGACACGCAGAGCTCAAGCCTGACAGACGACATGTGCCGCAGATCTAGAGAATGGGAAAGCTGAGGGGTCGGAGAATGCTCAGGCTCTAAAGCGTGCAGGGTGAGGGTCTCAGTCCTCAGCATCCCGCACCCGACCTTTCAATCCTCAGCCTCCAGCCTGCAGCACTCCCATCTATGCAGCCCCAGAATCTTCTCTTCTGCAACGTGCCATGGGGCTGTCTTCTCCCTGGAAAGTGGCTGGAAATCCACACTGGGGGCGCTTTGGAGTCCAGGGCTGTGGGAAGGGTCTTGTGGATTTTTCTTTTGGCCTTAACAACAGACAACAGAAAACTACTACAACGGAAAAAGATAAATAGCTCGCCGAGCCCAGAGTCACGGAGCTGGTGGGGGAACCTGTGATTATAGTGGGAAATGGTGAGTTCTGAAGTAATGAAGTTACCTGATATGCTCACTTCTGTCGCTCTGACAGGGGGCTGAAAGCAATGGAATTACTCAGGAGCACTTGCTGAGGAACAGAAGCAATGGGGAAAGCTTCTATGCGCATTGCGGGTTTTGAATTTGGGGGCACTGAGCTCAGAGCCTCTCTCAGCCTGGGGCTGTGACCCAGTCTTCCCGGCCCTGAGTTCTGTCTGGTACGTGGTCCTGATGTAAGGACACCGGCCACTGACCTCAGGCCCGAGGGCATCTTCTTTCTGAGGGCTCGTGGGCGGGAGGCCACATCGATAGCAAGTGCCCACATGATGCTTTGAATCAGCAACATTGCTGAACTCTAGGATAGTGTGGGCTAGGGTGGTGTGTGTGTGTGTGTGTGTGTGTGTGTGTGTGTGTGTGTGTGCGCGCGCGCACGTGCATGCGCGCACAGGGAGGGGAGGTGAGAAGACCAGGTGGCCCTCTCATGGGAGGGAAGTATCTTTGGTGAAATGAACCCCCTTTCCTCTGGAGGGGGTTAATCCCTCTCAAAAGGCCCATGTGAAATAAGCCAGACATTGATCCTGGCTGTGGTTCAAAGGACAGAAAAAGGTATCACCTGGGGATGAGTTCACAGATGAGCCAACTTGCTGCACCCCTTCCTCCAGGAAGGCCAACTGGGTTGCTCCCAGCTCTGATCTAGCCGAGCCATCACCCCTCTGCCCATCATTATCCCGACAACCTGGTCCTTGCTCACCACCTGGCCTGAGCTGTTCTGAGGTGCTAGGGTTTGTCTCTCTGATCAGGGTCCCGAGGAGAGTTCCTCAGGATTCTCATCTCCCAAGTGTGATTTCTCATGGGGCCGCTGAAACTGGGAGTAAGGGTTGGATGGAGGGGTCAGGAGACAGGCAGCCAAACCTTTCCTGCGTCAGGGCACAGAGTTCCCAGGATCCCATCCTTGTTGGTTTTATCTGGAGTCCACTCTCTCATTCCCTGTTCCTGCCAACCACAGGGAAGCTCTGCCCCACGGTGGTACCAGGACCCCCAAATCTTGGGGCTGGTCCCAGTCCAAGAAGGACAGACACGGGAGCCACTTGTGCATGGCACCTGCCTGCACTGCTGGTGCGGGGAGCATCACTCGGTGGGAAAAGGGTCCCACCGCTCGCTTAGCTCCTGCCTCCTGGCTTCTTCCTCGACCTCTGACACCCCCACTCACTCTATCTTTTGTTCCTGCTGCCACAGTAAGCTGGTGATCTCTGTTATAATGCCTCAGGTGGCATCTTAATACAGCCCAGTCCCCTTGGGAGGGATGTTCAAGGCCTCTGGCATGCAGATCACAGCCTACACTTCCTGTTCCCACTCCACCGTCTGCAGGACAAGTGGCAATGGAAAGCACCAGGCCCTGGGTGGAAGCACCACGAAAGGTGCTGTTCTCTCCACCACACCAAACACACACCGAACAACATGGTTCTTCAGTCCAGGCTGGAGAGAGAGCACAGTAGGGGAAGCACTTGCCTTGCATGAGACCAACACAGGTTGGGTTTCTGGCATCCCATATGGTTCCCATGGCACCCTCAGGAGTGATCCCTGAACGCAGAGCCAGGAGCAGGCCCTGACCTCTGCTGGGTGTGGCTCCAAACCAACCATCCGAACTCTAAATTCCAGCTCAGCTGCCACCTCCTCTGGGGGCTTCCCCAGCTCTGAGGAAACCGTTTCTCTGGCCCTGCTCTTGAAATGCAACAACATATCCAGTTGGGGTCAGACTCCAAGACACAGCTTTCCTGAATCCAGTTTCATAAAGCAAAATTGATCCTGACTACAGTGAAAACACGCTTCCTTTTCTCCACCCATGAATTCTCTTTAGTTTATAAACAAATATTGATCATGGCCTGCAACTAAATTCACCATCCACGGTTGTGCTACAATCCATTATTGGAAACACAAATGTCCCCGTTTGGAGCATGTTGGAATTCACCCGGCACTTACTTTCTTTGCTAGGAAAAAGGAAAAACTCAAGCAGGTCAGGTACAGACAGGAGGCAGAAGTTGGGATGCTGGACCCCCTTTTGGACACAAACCACCGAGTTCCAGGTGGAACTAAACCAAGTGGATTTGGGCCTGCTGCAGTCTAGAAGTGCAGGGTCTGAGATGAGAGATACAGAGGTGGAAGGACATTCCTGTGGGACTCAGCAATGCCTGAGAAGGAGTCTCTGTCTCCAGACACCGGGTCCCGGGGGATGAGGAGACAGATGAGGCAGATAATGAGGCAGCTCAGACCTGTGCCACAGCCTCAGACAGGAAGGAATTAGACAGAAGCGTCCACCTCTGGCTCCTGGGGAGGACGGGCATGGACAGGGGAGGTGGTCAGGTCAGAGTCTCCAGATGGACGTGGTGAGGTGGGTGCCTGTTTCCACGACAACACAGGTACCCGTGTAAAGATCAATGTCCTTGGTGTGCAGCAAGGCCTGCCAGGGGCATTAGACTCTGGATGATGCAGACAGGGAGAGCCGGAGAAGTGTGGGTCCCAGATTCTGCCACTCCCACTCCGTGGCCCATTCCTGTGGAATGTCCCCAATGCATTGAGTGATGAGTGTCCTCCTTCCAAACAGAGCTAATGGGATATTTGAAAAGAGATCTGGAGGGCCAGAGTGATAGTACAGGGGTGGAGCACTTGCCTTGCATATGGTTGACCTGGGTTCAGTTGCCAGGACCCCATATGGTCCCCTAAGCACTACCAGGAGTATAAAACAGGATATAATATATATATATATATATATATATATAGAGAGAGAGAGAGAGAGAGAGAGAGAGATCTTGTCTCTCAGGCTTTCTCTAGAATAGTTCAGAAATCTGCTTGAGGTACTATATTTATTCTGCCTGTAGTTTGATTCTTTCTGACTATGTGACATTGACTAAGTTTCTTCTTCCTGTCAAGCCTTAATTTCCCCCTTTCAAGAAAAGTTTAAAGTAAGGGTGGGGGGGACAGAATTCTAGGAATATAGTGCAGAGGGCTGGATGCATGTGTCATGTGCTGTGCCCCAGGTTCGATACGTGACACCACATGATCCCTTAAATGCTGCCAGGGATGACCCCAAAACAAAACAGCAAAAGGGTGAAGAAGTGAAGTGAAGTGAAGTGAAGTGAAGTGAAGTGAAGTGAAGTTCTGAGCACCTCAGGTGGGCCAAGGAATTTGATGTCCGGGAAGTTTCATTCTGCTCAGCACCTGAAGTGCCCTGGGGCCAGCACGAAGCATCCAAGGACCACAGACAAGCTCCAGACAGAGCTCTTGGACAACATCCAAGGACCACAGGCAAGACCTGGATCCTGCTGTCTGCGATTCTCAGTGGAAAGGCGGGGCACACGGGCACCAGGGCCCATTTGGCGCAGTA